AGGAAAATTGAAAAGCATCAACAGGATCAGGAACAAATAATTTACAATGGACCACAAACACAGTTTGAAAAATTTAGTGACGGCCATGGTGATTTTAAATGGATCAATCCAAATTATGATTCAAAATAAAGAAAAAAGGTTTTTAGGAACTAAAATCTAGAAAATTTAAAAATCTACTTCTAAAAAAAAAGAAAAAAAGATATAAAAACTAAAAATGTATAGAAATAATTTTCTTATCTTTACTATTTTTGTATTAAATTGATATGCCAATTATGTATTTTTGTATTTCGCATTATAATGCATTTGTATATAATAACTAATATATATGTAAATATTTATTTAATAAAAGTAAATAATTGTTAAATAAATGTATTTTTTAATTAAAATATTGCAAATTTAGTTCATAATTACTATTTAAAATGGTTAATTTTTTGTATTATAAGATAATTTGGATTCTTAGATCAACCAGATCCAATAACTCCTGGTTACAACTTGAGGCGCAACTATGGCTAAATATTTTTTTTTTTTTGGTGTGGGGTAGGTTATATCTCCCTTAGTAATTTATGAAAAGTAGCACGACACAGGCGTTATTTTGCCGCTTGACATTTTTACCGAGCTGTAAATTTACGGTGCGTTTTAAAAATTTACCTTCTAAAAATGTGTAGATATAATTTACTTATCTCCACTATTTTTGTTTTTCATTGACATGCGAATTATGTATTTTTGCATTTCGCATTTTAATGAATTTGTATAAAATAACTAAAATATATGTAAATATTTATGTAATGGAAATAAACCATCCGATTCCAGGGGTAGACCAATGCGCGTACTATTAACTATATACACGTACGCAACGTGTATGGCTCAACAAACCCGTAATGAGGTTATGGACACTGTAGACATTATTTTTTTTTTAATACAAAAACAATAAGTAAAATAGCGAATTATAAGACGAAAAAAAGAATGGTCAAATGCGTCTCATTGATAGACCCTATCATCAAAAAATAAATGAACCGCAAGCAAATACGAAAATTGTCCATGATAAATCAAGAGGCTCGTCAAAATCAAGCAAAATGCGATGTAAGATGTTAAAAACTGATTAATATATAATCATTTATTTTATTAGTAGTATTTTTCTTTTTAATTTTTTTTTTTTAAATACCAAACGCCAATTTATAATTTTGGTTTGATTTTAATTTCCAATATATACTAATTTTGAATAAAAGTTTAAGTATATATTGGATAATTCGGTTAACCTTTAAAACATGATAGTGGAATAAGAAATATAACATCATAACGCTGTATCAATCGCCTATTTGTCGCAACGGCACTAACAATCTAAATTTTAATTATTTTTGGTTACAGTACGACTAGAAATTAAAATCTTCACATCGACAGAACTTTGGAGCATTAGCAAGATTTTAGGATTTATTTATATTAATTTTCTGTCCGACCACGAAGCAAATTATCGAATGACTCGAGAAACACCACGCAGTGGGGTCTGGAATCGGAACGGACTGAACCCGTCGGGTGATCAAAACGTAAAAGAGACGACAAAAATTTCTTACTTGATCCAAGTCGAAGCATTTTTGTTTAAAAAGGAAAAGTTTAAACACAAATCGTAAAAATGGTAAAAAAAATTCCACCGAACTCCCCGTAACGCTCGGGTTCAAGCAATAGCCAAATGACAAATGAACGGCATCGGTTAGCCACGCGATCGAGACACATAGATGTTATAACACGTTATAATAAAATATTATAATATCTATGTCGAGTTACCACGACGAATGATGCGAAATGCTCATTATCACAAAATATAAATTACGCCTACTCGTTATCGTACTTTCAAATTGTAGAAAAGTGTATTTCATTTGAATTAAATAATCGAATTAAAGCTTTCTTTGGCTAAATCAGATTCAAATTCGTGGTATCTTGTATAAGTTGTTAAAAACAATTAAATTTAACATCAACAAGAAACGCTCTTAAATTGTACACGTGCCTACGGTATAGTGTGGGAAAAAAATACTAATACAATTCTTTATCGTACTCATATCAATTAAATCAATGTCAGGTATCATCACGATTTTCGACAAAAGTTATTGAAAAACATGTACAATTTTTATTCGTTACTCACAAAACACATATCGTGCCATGTACCCGAGGCAACACGTATAAAAGTTTAAGTTTCGAATAGCTACTGATTATTTTGGCTGTATACTTAACAGTAGCAAGCACAAGTGATCCCTACTCAAATATTTGTTTGTCAAAATACTTTCCTGGGATGGTTTTATACTCCGATTATTTGCGTACAAATCTATTATATTAGCGATTTTTCATACATACAAAAATATATAAAAATTCACGTTTATCAACTTTACACATAGAATATGTCTAACTATGCTAACTAAAGTCGTTAATTCTATGTACTGGAACAAACATAATATATTAGACTTTCGGTAATATTAGCGATTTTTCCTCAGAGTAATAATAATAAAATAATTTAAATGATATTAAACTAAAATGTTATGTAATTATATATTATACACAAATATTTAATTTAAAACCATACTTTATACAATTAAAAACTTGAATTTTTTCATACAATAATTAGATTCCCAAAAGATAATCAAACATTAGTAGCTTGGATGGAATTTGCTAAACAATGTTCATCAGAAGTAAAGCCAAGAAGTGTAGTGTGTTCTGCTCATTTCACAAAGGACTGTTTTGATCATTTTTGTCGTAGTGTACAGTTAAAAAAAAATCCATTCCAACAATATTTATACAAAGAGTTAAAAGTGTACGTAAACACAACCACATATTTTGTAGTTAAATAATAATATAACATATTTCAGGCTAAGACATTGTATCAAGAAGTTCTGGTGCCAGTAGTTCAGTGCAACCAATCTATTGATTCTTCTACTGAACGATGTATAAAGGTAATATTTTTTTAAGTTTTTTCTTTTATTTTATTTACAATTATTGTTTATAATATAGGTAACAGATGTAGGATTAAGTGTGGAAGGTATTGAACAAACTAATTTTAATCTTGAAACAAAAGATGTCCACTGTAATGATACTTTTGTATTAAAAATACCAAATGAAGTAGTAACTCCATTAATCCGGCGTTTTTGACTTTGAAGTCGTATTACTAATTGACTAACCTTGGGAATATTGTACCGCTAACTCAAAAGAACGTGCATATTTTCAAATAAGTCAACTTAAAAACTATTTTATATTAGCTCCAAATCAAACTTACTAGCAGTAGTGTAGCGATAGAATTATTTGCAAGAGGAAAACAAAAATTTTTTGGTATCCACCCACCCTTAAAAAATTTATAATGACTATTTATTAAAGAAAACATCTATATTTGAAGTAGGTAATAACTAGATATCTGGTACCTGATACATTTTACTATATCTAATAATAATTTATAGTATAAAAAAAAGTTATTAATAGGCCGGTATCAATTTTCAATTTATCACAAAAATATTTTACTAGGGGCGACTATCCTTAAAACAACTACTTCCATACGCCACTACATACATTCATAATGGATATTGTTTACTAATACATCTTAAATTTGTTGCTGATCGGTAAAAAAAATGAAAATACATGCAGATGCATTTAATGTTGTAAGGGGTACCCACCACCATTTCAATATCTGACACTGGAAATTGTCCGCTTTGGACCTAATTTCGTCGCACCACTGCTGCGAAGTACCTATACAATTGTATACCAAGGGACTTCCGAATCGAATAAAACTAGAAAGGAAAATAGAAGATTGCTCACTGGTTATAAACTGCGATTGTAGAAGCGATAGTTTAATTTTATGCAATCAATTTTAGCTTTAGTTTTAGTAGTTATTTTTTTAAATATGTTTTCGTAATAGTTTTGTGTTTTGTGTGTTATATATTTATTGTTACTTAATATTATCATATTATCAAAGATGGCGTGAAAACTTACATGATTTAGTTTATGGATAAAACTCTAGACATTCAAATATTAAACAATCGCATTAAACATCATCTTAAAAATTTAAAAATGATCGTCACTTTGCAATTTATTATTGTAGCGTTGAATAATGATTCTTACTTTAAACTATATTTATATTCTATAAACAGTAAATTATAGATGTAAATTAATAAATAAGAATAGAATAAAAAAAGTTTGGCATTACTAGATTATGATGACTTAGTAAGTTAAGTTATCTTGAGTCGTAATTTCCCGTGTGATTTCGTTAATATTTATTACAATGTATAAATACCTACTGTTATTTTTATCTATTTTCGAAATGAAAACATACCTACTGGAAATTACATTTAAATTAAAAAAAAGTCTTTCAAAACGAAAGTATACGTAACTTTTAAGAGTGGAAGTATATATTTTCTGTATTTTTCATGCGTTAAAAAAAAGAAAATTAATATTTTATCAATGTTTTGACCCAACCATAGTTATTGGTTTCTGATATTTCATATGTTTATAGTTTTCACCAGTAAACATTAGATTATTTTTATTTTGGTTTTTTAGTTTCAATTCAGCTGTTATTTAGTTCATATTTTTTGGATGGGAATGAGTTAATATCTCAAAATCTTCAATGAATACGATCGGTTAAAAAATATAGATAAAGTTATACTTAATGTTTACATAACCACATAGATTTTAATTATTATGTATCAAATTAAATTGGTAGTTATTTTTACTTAATTGTATAGGAAATCTATCAAAAATAACGGACTAATATTTTTAAAAATACATTTTATTTAATTTAAAAATAATATCGGTTATCGATTACATATTTTATAAAGAAATAAATTATTATAATATTACAATTTATGCACCTTTGTGGTCAGTATTTTCTTTTTCCACCAGTCGTTTTGTCTAAAATGACCTTAGATTTTTGAAAAAAGAATATACCAAAATGACACAAAAAATTGTGCGAGAAATACATAGCATACTTTATAATAAATAACTTAATATTAATATTGATTGAACACGTCTTCAATTCTTGTTTATTTTTGTGTTTTTTTTTTTTTTGTAGATTTTTGAATGAATTCTTCTAATATGGCTAGGCTGATCTTCCACTGAAAAACAAACGGTTAATTAATTTATTAACACGAATTTACGTTTGTGTGAACGCATGTTCTAACTTCAATATTAAAAAAAAAACTCACCAGTTTGCTCTTTGACTTGCCATACATTTTTGGCTAACTATATCGTAGCTAGTAGCGTGCCCACAGTTAAGAATGTGAGTAAATCCGTTACGACAGAGAGTCACCGAAGAACAGTCAGGTGTAAGTCGGTAAATACTCTTGTGGCTACAGCGTACGCCGGTATTTACTAAACCTATAAATACAAATACAATTCATTTAATCGTACTATTATTAAGTGTATTATAATTATTATTTTTTATTAATTAATGCATACTCGGTGGTATCTTCCTCAAGTTGTAATTGTAAACTGCAATTGGGTCGGCGATTGGTGCAAGAGTGGTGGATTGTGTTGGTACAATTTCGGTTGCAGGTGAAGATTCAGCTGAAGACAATGGTATGGATGGTGTAGTGGGCGATACTTCAGAAGTAGCAGTGGACGATACTTCAGGAGCGTAAGTAGTGTTAGGCTCAACTTCAGTACCGCTTTCTATTGGTTCGGGATTGTTCGGTAATCCTTTGCAGTCCACGCGGTACGGGTAATCACAGATTTTCAAATCCTAAGTATAATTTTAATAAAATAAAATAAATAATTATAAATTTAAATGGACTTGTTTCGGTAATAGCTTACATCGTTGTAGTTCGTTCCACCTGGGCAAACAAAGTCAACCGGAGATCCAGCTACACATACGTAGAAGGATCCGCAGTTTTCCTTGCTACGATACGTCCCGTAGACATCTGGACATTTAGTATTATTTCCGTTTTCGGTCACTAAAAAGAAAGGAACACAATGTTACATTATAGAAAAAAAAATTTCAAAATATATCGATTTTTACCTGTAATGGGTTTTGAACCACAATCCACATTTGCTGGATAGTCACAATAACGTTTCTCTGGGTTGAATACTAATCCTGCAGGACATGTTTGTTCGACTGCGGTATCGTCCCAACAGTTTATGAACTTGTTACAAGAACTCTCACTAGGGAATTGGCCTCGTGGTTCCTTGCACTGAGCTTTTAATGCGTCTGTCGACGGTGATCCGGTTGGTTGCGGGAGTTCCGAATCGGGAGAGTATGTAGTACCAACACTAGTAGTGCCTTCTGGTTCTTCTCCAGGCGTTTCTGAACTTGGTTTGCTTGGGTAACCTGGTTGGTCAGTGGAAATCTCTGGTTGAACAGTTGTCGGTACCGCTTCCGGTTGACCGGGATACAATGGCACACCTGGTTGTTCTGGTTGTTGTGTGTCTGGATAAGCTGGGATCACTTCTGGTAACTCTGTAGAACCTTCAGGTTTAAGAGTGGTCTGGTATGGTGCTTGTGTGATCTCTGGGATGTCAGGTTCAGCAACTTCTGGTGGTGGAGTTCCTTGCTCTGGCGCTGATGTTGATGAATATTCTGGTACAAGTGGTGATGGAGTTTCTGGTGCTGGTGGAGATGGATATTCAGGTTGAGGAGGTGCAGTGCTCGGCACTTCTGGTTGAGGAGTTACTACTCCAGGTGATTCTGGTTCTGGTTGTATATCTGATGTTGCAGAAGTAGATAATTCAGGTTTCTCTGAAGTTGGATTTGGTACTGGTTGTGCTGGATACAAAGGTTGTTGTGGGTATGGTGACGGTTGTGGATACGGCGATGGTTGAGGATATGGAGATGGTTGTGGGTATGCAGAAGGTGGATATGATGGTGGTGGATATGATGGTGGTGGATATGACGGTGGTGGGTAAGAGGGTGGTGGATATTGTTGCGGGGGGTATGAGGGATATGGATATGATGGTGGAGGATAGTAACCGTTAGCTGGAACCTGAATCCATACACTAGATGGTGGTTGTCCAGATGGTTGAGATCCTGCAGGTGGTGAGACTTGTTGGCCATTTACAACTGCGATTTGCCATTGTTGAATTTGTTGACGCATGTATTCTTCAAACTCGTTTTTATACGCATCATCAACTGGTTTTGACGATTCTGAAAAGTTAGACATTTAAAAATACATTTGAGTATAATTTATTTGATAATAAAAATGACAATCTACAAGTATATTATATAACATAAATATGTTATCTCATTTAAACTTAGAACTAAAAGGATAACTGTGTCCATACTACGCATACTTTACATCAAGCCTATCTTTGTTAATTTGCCAATTTTATGTAAAAAAAAACCGGTTTATAACAAAATAATACATTTTTAACAGGTTTACGTTCCGTGAACAAACGTCACCATAATTTATATTTTCTATTCGTTTCCAATGTATTTTGCATAAAAAATAACAGAAAATTGATAAGTTTATGCATACGAGTTTTCGCATTTCCGTACATGTTGTATTTCGGTGAATAAACTCTGATGGCAAAATATTAAAGGTAAATTTACCGTCTTAATGACTGTATCTATCATTTTTATTTTTATCTTTTACACAGTCATTTAACTTGCTATCGAGATAATTAAATCTAATTAATATAATTAATGTGAAAATGGTCGTGAATTTTATTCTATTCAAACATATTTACTATTTAGTATACAATATTCGAATTATAATATTCAAAAAATATACACAATTAATGTTAATTGGAGTAATGATAATTAAAAAATAAATAATTTTAAAAAATTATTTAACTATGTTATGCAATCATTATTTTAATGAGGGTTTTTTTAATAATTATTTATTTTATTTTAATTTTATTTTATTAATTATTTATAATATTTATGATTACATTCTTTAAGCGAAAATTAGATAGAGTTGTTAAAATAATTAATAATATTATATTCTCATTATTGAGGTGATATAAGTGCACATTATTTTAAAATATATAAATATATAAGAAGATATTTCTTGTTATTATATTTATATCCACATAAAAGTTAAAAATAATTCACATTTTTATTTCATTCAATATCAAAAAAGAATTAAAATAAATAAATGATTAAAAAAATGTTGACTTTACTATGATCAATAAATATTATAATTAATAAAATATTATAAAAGCTTTTACTAGACCATTCAAATTCTAGTGGGTTTTTTGGAAACTCATTTATAACTATTTAATTATAATTATAAAATATATTTGTTATTCGATAGAGCATTCATTGTCAAATATAGAAAATTTACTTAAAATATTATACGATTTTTATCATATTTATGTTCTAAGTTTAGTTCTAAGAACGAAAAAAAAATCGATGGGGCTTGAAAAATAACGTTTTGTCTTTTCTCAAGTCGTTTCTTGTTAATACTCTAAAATATAAATTATAGCTGAGTACTGCGATCAATGTTTTTATTAAATGTTTATTTTTATTTTTAATGGTCTATTGCACATGTTTTATTATTATTTTATCACGGTTCTACGATTATTATTGTTATTTTAGGCGCAATTTTTTCATTAATTTGAGTGTTGTTGTGCTGAACAAGTAAATATGCATATTCGTGAAAACGCAGTTGACATTTTGCCACATTTTTATTACAGCCTAAGGACGTTGAACCTTAACCACTTGAAATCTCATTTACGTAAGTGGTTTTCAATAATTTTTTATCAGTGTGGTGATAAATTCAAACCGGGTTGTAATGTTATCCGATAATCCATGTAAATAAATAAAAGAAAGAGCAAAAAAAAAAAAAAATAAATAAAAAAATAATAATAAAATGAACGACAAAGTGTACCGTTGTAAGAACTGGTTTTCGTGTATAAGGGAACTGTACCGTTCCGATACGATGACGCATGTTTTGCAGTCTATAGCATTTTGATATTTCACATAATATTATAAGTATATTAACAAGCCTTCTTGTCTCATTACAAGTGTCTGTTAAATTTTCACGAAATCATACACACACTCGAAATTGATTCGGAAACACGTTGACGTTTATTAACCCGGTAAATGGTAGGTACCCGTTATATTGTGATTGGGTGTGTTTTCTAGTACCCAACAATCTACCTGAGTGCCTAATATGGCAGTGTACGATTTTTTGCCAAGTGTGAGCAACCAACGACCATTCACAAGTAAACGTGTAAGCTACTATAGGTTCGATGTACTACTATACAAATTATTTTTGAAAATTTAATCGAATACTGTACAGTTTAATGTAAATTCATGATAATTTATTTATAAAGATATATAAATTAAAAATAACCCGTGAGAAATAAAGCTGAATATTAATATATATTTTGGGCTTATATAAACATATGCGGATGTTAAAATTTATTTTTTCAATTTTTATGTTCACAATATAATTATTATTTAAAATCTTATACATCATTATCTTTATATATATAATTTTACTGTACGTGTGTAACTGAACTCCTTCTAAACGGCTGAACTGATTTTTATGAAATATTGTGTGTGCTGTTAAATTGATTCGAGAATGGTTTAGATTCACAATTTGATCGGATAGAAAATGTTTTTCACTCACACGAAACAGGTTAACAGGTTTTTTGAATAGAACGTCTATCTGGTCCGCTTGAATTATATATATATATATATATATATGTCTAGATTATACCTACTATAATACTAGTTTTTCTAACACACGCGTTGTTTAAGTTGCCTATTCGATCAGCTATTTTTTATTTTTTATTTAAACATTTTTATTTGTTTGCACTAAAAATCACAAATATATTAATGTTTTCATACATATATAAAAACTACGAATAAATCATGATATTTTTGCGATAGTTCTGTATCACATACATAACGCGTTAAATTTTCTATGGTTTATGTAATCATTCTTATGATACGGAACGATGGATAACAATTCGTTTAAAAAATAAATTAGCACATCAAAAGTTATTATAAAAGTTTTTTTTTTTTTTTTACAAGCGAAACCAGTGAACAAAGGTGTGGGGTTATTGTTCCGCGATGACGGAACGGAAATCCCTTAATAATATAGGAAATGGAAAACAATATTGTGTTAATCACGTGTCCCACTAACGGGAAAAGTGACCGAAGGATAATGGTGTTGTGTGCGTAATACGATTAGACGAACGCTGCGCCTGCACGGATAATTCTTTTGTAACACGAATCAATATTTTCGTAAGTATAATTAATTATCATTGATCAGCCAATGTTTACTGAGCAACACAGCTGTTACTGAGGGGCAAACTCAATTCATCACTGCAACGGTAAAATTACGCGCATAATAATATTACGTTATATATTGTTTTTTTTTATATTTTTTTTTTCACTATTTATCGTGGCTCGTTGACGGTCGAATTTATATGTTATTTAAGACGACTTAAATTGATTGTGTAAAACTCGTTCCGGCGCGCGTATAATTTATGCTTCGAAGCCACCATTTGCATATACACGTGTACCCCGGCAAATGCGGTTAACGGTTAAAAAACCTATTCGTATTATTTATGTGGCGTATAATTATTATTATTATTTTTTTTTTTAATTCGCCGGGTTCAGAGCGCACGTATTGCAGCATAAATACATTATAACCATACAGGTGGTACGTATCTGCAGCGCACACATACGTGTCTGTTTATATTACACGGCCTACGAGCGTTTATGTTTATGCGTAATGTTTGCAGCGGAACATAACGACGACACGATGTCTAGGAAGAATGTTAATACTTTTCTGTCGAGCCTACACCGGGTTAGATAGTGTCACAACTGAAATTTCACGGGGCTTCGACCGAGACGTATAACGATTATTATTATTATGATATCAAGATCGAACTGCTGTGCGACTTCACCGCCGTAACATACAATTACACACCGGTGCAGCGGACGCGCACAACGCACGCATATTTTACGTTCGTGCGACAATGGGTGGGTGCATTATGTAAATAGAGGAAAAAAAATGTGTGCACCGCGTTTCCAGAAGTGCGGCGGATTTCCATAAGATCCGGTGAGGCTTTGGCGTTCTTATCGGCCGATCGCGATCACTTGCGCTCGATTTTTTCATTCGTAACATCTGTTTAGCATATCGCGCGTATCCCGTACGCGCATACGTGCCGTCGGACACTCGATATATTATGCTAATTGCACGCTCAGAAGACCGGGAGTTACGCGGATATAATATGATAATTTTGTTTACTGTGACGCGTTCGGTCCATTTCAAGCCCCGACGCATATTTTACAGGTACATATATATAATATTTTAATTGCAGGTACTCGGGTTACCTGTAGGAGCCGAGGACACCTGTAGCGACAAGACTTAGGATTTGAATTAAACTTATAACGATTATTTATTTATTTTTTCGGTCCAAGGATTAGACAGACTATAGTTACCATAATCACTCTGAAAGACAAAACGTTTTGAATTTGTGTTAGCTTTGGAAATGCGATTATATAGTAAATCCGTTTTTCGGATCCGAGTGCATTCTTTCTTGCAGACTTATGATATCGATATTTATTCGAACGCTATTAAATTATAGTCGTCTAAAATAAAACCCGTTTGAAACAATGAGAAATTGAAAATCTAATAATTTTAAAAATATTTATGACGGTAATATTATTGAATGATGTGCCGAAAAATACACACGCCGGGCTAACTATATAATCATTACGTTAAAAAATAACATTTTGAATTTATGAATAACTTTTATTTTTAAAGATAGAAAAATATGTTTATAAAAAAATAATGTATATATAAAAAAAAATAAAAAAATATTACGTTAATAATAATCAACATTTCTATAGAAGACTCGCGCATATACGTCTACGCATATAGCTGTGGTGTTCGCTAATTGAATCTATTGGCAGCTACGGCCACCACGAAGAGTCATTAACTGATTTCAGAAATCAATATTATACAGCCATTTATTAAACTCATAGACAGGTACCTATATAATAATGTTTTAGCTGAGCACTGGAAAACTTGAATTTATTTCATCCACTCCAGCGGAGGTGTTCCTAATAGTGTTACAAGATGTGTATACAATATTTTAAACGCACAAATCGTTTCGAAACGTCTAATTTCCATTCGTAGTTCTACCGCGTATTTTTGGTGAGTACTGGTTAGATACACG